AGGCAACAAACCATGGTGAACAAGGCATAGTTCAAAACCTAGCAACCATGGGCTCTCTTCATGGGTAAGTTTCTGGTTTACAAGCTATGGCTTGTTAGTGCAGTTGGGTTCAGACAACATAATATTTATTTATTTATTGCAACTGTATGCTACTGCATAGCCAGAGGTTCTCTGGGTGGCTCACATATAAATATAACAAATAAAAGTAAATAATAACAAACAAATCATAAAACATAATTGAATTAAAATACAATATAAATACAACTATATAAATAGGAAACAGGAGGAAAATACAATAGAATATCCCATCTTTCAGCAACAGTCTATGGTTCCGTGGCAACCCAGTTTAAGAGGGCGGGTTCCTTTCATAATCCCGCTCCTTCCCAGCCCGTATCAGCATACGTTAAAGATGATGACACACTGGAATGCACTGGTTCTTTTTCAGGAACAGACTGACCTTTCCAAATGGATTCCTTCCTTCCACAACAGGCTTTAGGGACTGTTCCCAAATGACCAATCAGGAAGCAAGCAATTCGCCCATCCAGCCCAGCATTGTCTGTTCTGGCTAGGAGTGGCTGACCAGAGTCTCCAGCAGAGGGTCTTTCCCAGTTCTTTGAACTGCAGAAGACAGAAATGAAGACTGGGACCTCCTGCATGGGAAGCATGTGCTTACTTGCTGAACAATTGTGCTTGGGTGGCCATATGCCCTGCTTTGCAGAGCATCTTTCTTGACTTTAAGGCCTCTCAGAGGACTGCTCTCTACTTGAAGGGCTGTCCAATCCAAGTCTAATTTTACAAGCAAGAAAACTATTAATGGCACTGAACTAGGGCCTTCCAGTTGCACCTCAACCTGACCAGCAGAGTGAGCAAGGAGGACACGGTCAGAGTCTGCCTCACTGTGGTGAAATGTATCACATTTTTATTTAAATAATAACAAGTTTTCATTTTCTAAATTGGCACCTGCACAAATGTCCAAATTACTGGCCTCTTTTGGCACTGAGCCAATGGGCACCCTATGCCGAATTGAAAAGCTCTGCCCTTCTGAATGGTTTGAGATGCCGTGGGTGGCAAGACTGAACTGTGACCTGTGGCAGACAACTAGATTCCCTCAGTCACAGGAATGCACAAGTGGCATTTCCTGCAGGCCTTGGGAATGGATGTCCCTCGGTCGCCTTACAGGTCCTGCTTAGTCAATTCATATTATGTTCTACCCGAGTGTTCAGAAGCCTCCCTCCTACACCTGAGTAGGAGCCATAATCCTGGAGGATTCTCCCCACCCCTCCTGTTTTTTTTTAAAGTTTTATTTGAAAAATTATAATCCTAAAAAAACAAAAAGAAAACTACAAACAACATCCATCATCAAAAACATCGTGCCCGCTGGGTCAGCCCCCACACCCTTCTTTTTCAATTTCTGATAACTTAAAAAAAACATTTAAATCTATGCAAAGTCCCGTTTCTCTAGCCAATAATAAAAAGAGTCCCAAGTTTGAAAGAAGTCAGTATCTTCCTTCTCCTTCAATGATAAAGTCAATCTATCCATTTCTGCACAGTCCAGGATCTTTTTTTAGAATCAGTTCATTGGTAGGTAGTTCTTCACTTTTCCAGTGTTGAGCGAATGCAAACCTTGCCACAGTGATTACATGTAAAATCAAATACATTTCTTGTTTACTAATGTCCTCCGGTATAATGCCTAATAAAAAAACTTCAGGTTTAAAAGCTAAGGATTTTTGTAACATTTCCTCGAGCCATTTATGTATTTTAATCCAATACTTTTTCACATTATCGCAAGTTCACCACATATGATAAAAAGTACCCAATTTATGTTTACATTTCCAACATCCATTTGACATATTTGGAAACATCTTAGCTAATCTATCTGGTGATAGTTACCATCTATAAAACATGTTATACAAGTTCTCTTTATACGAAGTTGCTAATGTTACCTTGATATTTCTCTCCCACAGCTTTTGCCACTTTTCTAATTCAATATTATATCCAAAATTTTGTGCCCACATTATCATAGTTTCCTTAACCTGTTCCATTTTCCTATCAAGTAAGAAGTCATATAATCTTTTAATCATTTTCTCATCTGATTTAAGCATCACTTGATCAAATGCTGTTAAGTCCTTATAAAAACCCCACGCTTTACAATCTTTAGCATATCTTGATTGTATCTGCACCTTATGCCACCAAGAGACATTAGATCCCTGTTCTTGTGTTTCTTGATTCAATTTCAGTCCTCCATCCTTATCCAAAATGTCCTCATATCTTATAATCCCTTCAAAATTCAATGCATTTGGATACACAAAAGCTTCCATGGGTGAAAGCCATCTTGGTAATTTATTATACAGTTTTATCTTTAACTTTTCCCACACCGACATTAATGTTTTTCTAATATAGTGACTTAAAAAAGAACCATGTGACTTAGCCTTCTCATACCACATATAAGTGTGCCAGCCCATTTGCAAATCATGCCCTTCAACATACAAAATTATCTTATTTCTTAAAGTTATCCATTCTTTTAGCCATGTTAAAACAGAAGCTTGATAATACAACATCCAATCAGGGGGACCAAAACCCCCGTTCTCTTTAGCTTCCTGAAGTATTTTTAATTTAATCCTTGGTTTCTTCTTTCTCCATATAAATCTTGAAATTTGAAAATTTAAATCATCAAAAAATTTTCTATCAATTTTTATGAATCATTTGAAATAAAAACAGAAGCTTTGGTAATATATTCATTTTAACAAGTGCTATTCTTCCCAGCAAAGATAATTGCAAATTAGCCCATTTTTCCAAATCAATCTTAATATCCTTCAGTAGTTTATCGTAATTGTCTTCTTTCAGAGTAGTACACTTAGCTGTAAGATAAATTCCCAAATACTTAACTTTTTTGACAATCTGCAAATTTACTTGTTCCTGCAGGGTTTTCTCTGGTCTTGTGTAAAATTTTTTACTAACAGTTTCATCTTTTCTCTATTTATTTTCATCCCAGTAACCTCGCCATATTCTTCAATCCTTTGTAGGAGTTTAGGCATTGTTGCAAAGGGTTCCTCTGTTATGAAAACCAGGTCATCAGCAAATGCTTGCAATTTATAGCTTTCATCTCTAATTCTGGTACCTTTAATGTCTGCATCATCCCTGATATTTCTATTCAACAGTTCTAAACTCAGTATAAACAACAGAGGTGATAACGGACATCCTTGTCTTGTACCCTTTTGTATCTCTATAACCTTTGTAAATTCTCCATTAATTATAATCCTAGCCGACTGCTTTTGATAATTGCTTGATATTGCATTAATAAACTTTTCACCAAACTCCATTTGGGTCATCTGTTGCTTCATAAATTGCCAGTTAACATTATCAAAGGCTTTCTGTGCATCCATAAATAATAAAGCCATTCGTTTTTCCATATGTATCGCATAATACTTTAGGATATCCAAGATAGTTCTCAAATTATTCCTCATTTGTCTTTTAGGCAAAAAACCATTTTGGTCTGAGTGAATAAAGTCTGTTAGAAACTTCTTTAATCTTTCTGCCATTATGGAGGCAAAAATTTTGTAATCCACATTTAATAATGATATAGGTCTATAATTTTGAATCTGTGTTAAGTCCGTATCTTCTTTCAGTATTAATGTAATATTTGCCTCTGTCCAAGTATTTGGTATTTTAGCATTTAACAGTGCTGCATTACATATATCTTTAAGAAGCGTAGCAAAGACTCCTTCAAAGGATTTATAAAACTCTGCTGGCAGCCCATCTGGGCCAGGAGTTTTATCATTCTTTTGCCACTTAATTGCCTCTATTACCCCACCCCTCTTGTTCATGCATAATGTCAGCAACACCGAGAGAATTTCTAAGAGCCACAAAGCGTCCCTCCACTTCGGACCATTGAGGGTGGCCAGAACAGCCCACTGCTTGGAAGAACTGCCAGAGGACAGTCCTCTACTTGCAGTTCTGCCCAGTCCAAGGCTGGCTTAAAGTCAATGGACCCTTAGAGGAGAGAGCCTTGAAGCTGCCCATCCACACCATGCACCTGAACCGGCAGGCACACAAGTCATCCGGTCATAGTCTTCTCCCCCATGTCATGTATTTCTATTAAAGTATAGCTGTCCTTTTAAAATTTGTACCTGCCCGTGTAAATGTGCAAATGCAAGTGTTATACAAATAGGTACCCCCCCCCTTTTGGCGATGCAAGTCCTCTTTTTGGCAGTGGTCATCCTGATAGTAGCCCTCGTCCCCTTGTGGGGATGGGATGGTTTGCTGGGCCTGCTGATGAGCGTTTTCTGACTTTCCCCTCCCTGCAGTTCCTTGCGCACGAGGAGATGGGCTCTCTCCACAGCCAAGCTGCTCGGCACGTGGCTGTGTCAGATGAGACTGGTCAATACGTGTCCTTCTGTGCTCAGTGCTACATGCAGCAATAATGATTTATCACAGAGGGGATTCTGCAGCAATCCGGCTCTGATGGAAGCCAGCCCCAAATGAGGAAGATGGTGTGTGTGTCTCTCGCCTGTCCGCACTTCACATGCCGGAGCCCACTGGACTGGCAGAAGGCAGGGAGGGAGGGTGGCCCCCCTTTCTTCCACAGGCAGCAGGCTCAGGCTGTGTTCAGGGGGCTGCAGGATCTGGTTTCATTTTAGGGCCCTTCCCTTGCAAACAGTCACAGGCAGACGGGGTCCTTGCATTGCCAATCCAGTAGGACTCTCGGGGCTGATTAGGTCATTTGTGCTTTGTCCGGGCCATTCAGAAATCCTGCCTTACCCCACACGACAGCCAGCTTTGGGAAAGTGGGGCAGGCAGCATCGCAACGCTCCTCTGTCCTCCACCACCTTGCCACCACCTGCTGCCCCTCAGCACCTGCCCCCTGAGCTGGACGGGAGCCTTTCTCCGCCCCTGTGCAGAGTTCTTGGGAATCCCAGGTTTGGGGGAGCATTCAGCTGTCAGCTGCTACACACTGCCACTTCAAGATTTGTTCTGCCTGACGTCTTCTTCTTTCCCAGCAGAAGAGCTCAGACCCTTACAAGCTGCCTCCCTCTTTGCTCCGGAGATTGTATGACAGCCAAGGGATTTCTGGTGAGGCACTCATCAGGCTGTTGGGCAAGGAAGAAATAAGTAAGTCTCCCCCTACCTGTGCCTTCTTCCCTGCAAAGGCACTTTCACGACAGACCGAAAGGGATATTTGGCCTGCAAGGAGTTCTGGACACATCGGTCGCTTGAAATGTCAGAGCGTGGGGCACTTTTTATGAATTTTGCCATACAGCAGTTAGACAAGCAAGCTCCTGCAGACATGGTTGAATGGGGGGGGGGGCATGAAAGCTTCACCTGCATGCATGCACTGGCTGCAGTTGGTACGAGGGGCAGTGGCAGCAAAGAACAGGGCAAGTACGGTGTGGCCCAGTCCCCCCTTTGTATACTTGGATAAGGGAGAATGCGTATCAGGCATACGCCTGTAGAATGCATTCCCTGGAATGATGTTGATAATGGTAGTTGTCTACTTCAAAAGCCTCTGAAAGTCAGCTCAAATCGATGGCAATTGCAACCCATTTAATTCAGGGGTGGCAAGGAAAATGTTGGGGATTTAGAATGGGGTGACAGGGACATTTGGTGGGGAGGGAAAGTTGGGAGTGGATACTCTACAGGTGAGGGCAGTCTTAAAGTGAGAAACTAGCTCTCCCCACTCCCACTGCAGGCTTGGGCCTACCCACTAGAGTGGCAACACATTTCCGCAAAAGCAATGAGGTCCTCAGGCCAAAAAAGCTCCCCATGCGCTCAGGACTTAAGTGCCAGCATGTGTCTGAGTCTCCTTAAAAAAGGAGGCGTGAGCTGCAATGGTGAATCTGTGCCATTGATCTCAGGGGTGCTGTTTCTTCTTTTCCAGGTCCCCAGGCACTTGCCTCTTCCCAGAAACGTAAGTCAGGCCCTCAGCTGGACTCTGCAATGACTATTGTTCCCTCTGTGAGCATCTTCCCTAGGGAGAGCTGGAAGCAGCCATATCACTGGCAAGGGGGATGAGGCTAAGAGCTGGTGGCTGGCCTGCAGCCAGCTAGTCGATTCATGGTGGAGGCAACTTTTCCCTTCAAAACTGCTTTTAAACGTTTTCCCTTTAAAGTACCCCGTGCTTCTGTGCCTTCCCCTCCGGCCACCCATGTCCTTTACTCGGCAGGGTGCGTGTGTTCTGCAGCAGTACTTGGCGTTGACAGTCGTGGCCTGTCCAGGGCTGAGGCTGGGATTCCCCTTGGCATGGAAGTGAAATGGGTGGAAGCAGCTGCTAGGGTGACCAGCGAAAGGATGAGGGAGAACTGTAGCCTGGTGAGGCTGAGAAGAGCTTGTTCGCATGATCTGGTGGGGCAGGAAGAAGAGGTTATTTCCTCTTCTCGAGAGAAGGTGCTGAGGGAGTAAGTGGTTGACTGGAGAGTAAAGCTGCAAGCCAGCACACGGGCATCTCCCAACTGGGCGCTCTCCTGATGTTTTAGAGTATGACTCTCAGCGTTCCTGACCCTGGGCATTGCTGCCTGGGAGGGGTGGCTGGCAGTGGTGCTCTCCGTCGCTGACTTGTGAGTCGGCAGTGGCAGAACAGCGCTTGCTTGCTACGAGTCGACCTCAGGCAGTGCTGATCCTGCTGCTGCACGGAGCCCCGCTGGGGTCTGGGCTGCTGACCACTAGGGTGCTTTGCGGGTGGCGGTCAGCAGCGATCGCTGGGCAGCTCCTTGGCAGGGGCTTTTGCTGCTCTTGCCAAGTGGCTCACTTGCAGTTGGACTTGATCCACGATGGCTTGTGTCGCCTTTGTCTAAGCTTGGACAATATATGAACTCATCGTGGGTCCAACTCTGCTCTAAGCCATGGGTTGCCTTTCCATGAAGCTGGTCCAAGGTGATAGCTAGGAGCGGATTGTCCTTTACAGGACTGTAAACACTGAAGACTGGCATGCAAGTGCTGCAGGAATCAGCGCCACCACAGTAGAGTTAGAAGTCCCTCATTAAAATAAGGCTGCTCTTCCTTTCTGTTTGCATTTCCATCTAAAATCTGCTCTTCTGATGCCATTTTTGGCCTCTTTGTAGGAGACATGCATGATTTCTTCGTCGGACTCATGGGTAAAAGGACCACAGAACCTGGTAGGTGTGTGGATGAGCTGCATGTGGGCGTGTAACCCAGGAGATTCCATCACTCACTTCCAGAACCCCAAGGCAGATTTTAATGGATTTCTCAGAATAGATGGGAATGGGATAGGTTCTCCAATGCATTTCCTTCTCTGATCGACAGGCTGCAGTTATGTGGAAGTGCATTGAAAGTCCCATCTATGATGTTGGGTACAGAATGCAACTTCTTGAGATTCTCAGCTCTCTTTTAAAAAATGAAATAAGTCTCACATTTTTAGTCCTTGTGGTTGCCAAAATCAAAGTAAGTGTGCAATCATTAATGAAATTCAGAAACTGAGGGGTTGCTGAATGAGCTTTTCACAGAAGCAGAATAAATTATACCAAGTAACAATGAAGCAAAATTAGGCAAAATAGGAGTAATGCATAATTCGTGCAGGTTGCCACATTCAGTTTTTGAATACAGAGTTTGGAGTATGGGAGCAGAAGTTTGTTTGTTTTTTAAGTTCAGGGTACATAAACAACTCAGCTCTTAGGTTTCCTTGGTCAGTGAAGCAATTATACGGTGCTTGTCTGAAATGGAAATGTTGACACAGAGTATATCTCCAGGCTGGAGGAAGCAGTAAAATCTCTCAGGTTGAATGCTTGTAGAAGTTAGGAAAGTAGACAAGGAACTCTTCGGTACTATCCCACCTGAGCTGAAGAAAAATGTAAGGGAAGATGCGGCATCTGCCAAAGGGATAGAACAGGAATGTCTGCTAGAAACTGACTCTCTCTGTCCTCTACTTTTAGATAATCCCATACCAGATAATAGGGAAGTGCTCACTGATTTTGGAGACCTAAAGTACTCACCAAATGCAGAATGAGGTAAGGCTGGAGAGGCCAGAATGTTCCTTTCTGCTTTGAAAAAAGGATGAAGAGGGATTTGTCTCCATGCTCCTCCCATGGACACGTCTAGCTGCACAGGCAGGCACATTTAGATAGGCACAAATGCAAGGTCAGCTACACGCCCCCACCCACACACCCGACCCCAAATCTAAGTACAGCTGTTGACATGGTTCTTTTGTGATTAAGCTGCAGCTGAAGGAACACAGTGTTCTGTTGGTGAAGATTGTGGCAACAGGGATTTTCAGTGCAGGTTGGAGATACACAGGGTAGGTGCTGCAAATTAGGCAGCAATTTATAATAAATGAGGCAATTCCAGCTGTCATGCCTTTTCCAGAGCCGGAGCAAAAGCAGCAGTTCTTTAAATAGACATGTTTATACAGTGAGCAAAGCAATTTTTTGGAGGATGTTATACCTAGACCTAGAGACTCTGAGAAGGGCACTTTCTATGCATTAGTTAGTATTTGCAGGATGGCTTTTTGGAGCACTTCCCATGCATGTAGAACTGACCAAAAACAAACAAAAACAACAAAACAACAAACACAAGAATTGGTGAGCCCAGTAATTTTAAATGAGGAAACCCATGAGCCAAATCTAACAATGGTCATGGGATTAATTCTAGATATCTTGACAATATCTAGAATTAATTGTAGATATTGTAATATTTGTATTAACTTATATGTACAGTGTGATCCCTACTTGCTCAAGTGGCGAGCAGTTTTGGGTGCCATGCTAGCCAGGCCTTGGCTTTCTTTGGATGAGAGAACACTTAGTGGCTAGTGCAATATTTGTAATATTTGCTTTAAAAACACACTATTCGAGTATCGAAGGAGGCAAAGAGGCACACCTAGAAGGTAGAAGGTACCACAGAGAATTTAGACTGCCCCTAGGCTGCACCCCCAGTGTCCAGCCAACTCCAGCTGGAAGCTCTACTTTCTTTCTCATCCAAATGGCACATTCCTCTATATGTCTCTCCCCTTAATGGACGTGAGTCACCCTCTTGATCTTTGCCCACCCTTTGGAAAACTATCTCCTAACTTATGCATGAAACATTAACTGTTTCATGCCCTATATTAGCAATTCTTGCGTGAAGATGATACTTGTGCAGCCAAACCAACAGTGCTCAAGAGAGAACCATTACAGTCATGAACAAGCCTGAAGTTTGCAGAGGTTCATTTAAAAATTCAGAAGGAAGAAAAAGGGGGCTGCAACACTGCTTCAATAGAGAAATACAATTATGTGTTTTCAGAACAGAGGTGGGGGAAGGAAGGGAATAGCAGCAGATACGTAACCTGAGTACCAGGGAATCCACTGCAATGTTGGTTGCAGGTCCCACCGGCTGTGAGCTATTGATCAGCAATCTCTATCAGCCCTAGCACTGTCTTTTCAACTGGGAGTGGGGAGTTACAAACCTTAACATGGTGAGGTTCTTAATGTTTCATGTCCACAGTGCACATATACTTCCCGGCCATTTCCCTGGAGTGCTGGGATGCTTAGCCACAACTCATTTTAAAAGCAAAAGGCCAACCGCCCCCCCAACCAACCAATCAACCATACAAACCATACAAACCAACCGAGTTTGCTTGCTTCTCCAACCATACTGTTTCATGAACTTGGATGAAATTGACCAACAGACAGGGAAACCATTCAGAAGGGGAACTTTGCAAGACTGGTTAACAAAAGTGTGTGTGTGTATGTATGTGTGTATGGGAATTACACATCCCCATAGCAACTGAAACCTACCCTGCTCCATCCATTACATGGAGACTACGTAATTGTACATCAAATCTTCCTTTTACCACTTTCTCAGCAGGCATGAAACATCTAGATCAGGTAGTTAACAGCCAACTGTAACTCTATGGATGGCTTTCACATGTACACTTATTTCCCAGGAGTATAGTTCCCTTGCACCTGACTTCTTCTTTTGGCAAGTCTAACTTCCAGGCACAGCATAGCCTTAAGAGAACAGCAACTCTGTGATGGTACTACAGTTAGTCTCTTACTATTCATTTGGTGGTAGTTTCTTTTCTGCACATGCCATCTAGAATTGCAAAACAGTGCTTTCTCTAAGGGCCACACTCCTATGTGTTTGCAGGTAATGGGCAATCAAGCTTTTTTTTTAAGCCACTTGAATCAATACTACACCCACCTTCCACTAGCAGGCTCTGTGCTCTTGCTGACATGTGCCTGCATATATGATTTAAACATTTACACACAATTCTATATAATGGATATCCTCTGCTGGTATCAAGTTGCAGCATGCATCTTTACCTGTAGAATCTAACTCACGGAGAGTGATGTCACATGAATATGCTCATGGCTTGATTGTTGTGAATAATACAGGTGATACAGGTGATGCTGTATGTTGAAATGACCCTCACAAGCCTTAACCCAATGCTTGTTCATCTTCTCAAACATGATCCTTTTCAGTGGAGCCAGTTCATTCAGCTGTGAGACATTCAGGCTCTGAGTGTTATAGATTCTCCAAGCCTCAGGTAGTTTGTCAAAAGACTTTCTAGTCTGCAGCAGAAGTACTTTAAGATTTTAAATTATATTTTAATAATATATATCCTGCTTTTCCTTACCTAAAGATAGATACAAAAGAGCTGGTAATAAAAATAAAAGAGCAAATTGCAGTTTTAATATGCTAAAATCCAAACCACAAACATGTGGACTTCATTGCCATTCATATCTAGAAAGAAACAATTTTTTTTTGCATCCTGATGGAGGCTTTCAAGAGGATGAATCAGCTTCTCACTTGGTCCTTTTAATAATCCTGCCTGCCAGGATTATAGATCACAGTGGCCAGGTAACTATGGCAGGAGCCTTTCTGGGTTAAAAAATGGGTTCCTGCATTAAACACAACACACACAGTTGTCCATTTGGGTATGTAACACCTGAACCAACAGTTTGAACTCCTGTTTGTTTATTTTTTATTTATTCTATTTCACCTTTCTCCCATTGTGCAACTCCTGTTGGCAGTAGATTTAGGACAGCAACACGTAGTGAAGCCGTATCTGACACTGAATGTGAAGAGTTGATCACACAGTTACATAGATAAGCAAGGGATGATAGTGCACACATGAAACAACACAACTGGATGTGCATCTTCACTGGGGCAGATATACAAAACAGCACACCCTGGAGCAATGTTGAGCCTGAAGTTCTTGGGAGAGCTTCAGAATGAAATGGACTATCACTGTGCATTTGTGGCTGCAGCTCTACACATTGCTGGACTGCTTAGATCCCACGTCACTCCCTGGAAGTTTAAGGCAGCCTAATTGCATGCTGCCAACGAGACACTGGTGTTGCTGTCAGGGAGAAGGTGAGGCAGTCGTTCTGGGTTTTATGTTCAAAAATCTGGTCTGTGGATATTCTGAGTGAACTCCAAAGCTTGTTGCATTTTCCTGTATTTGGAACGTCCCTTGCAATTTAATGCCAGAGACCAAAGAACCAGGGAATGATCCATGAGCCCAAGAGGACTAGGCACTTGTTATTCTTTAACATGAGCCACTCCTGCTCCACCCCATGCAGGGCATCTCAAAAGCAGTTTGGGATATAGCATGGTTTGGAAATCAGCTCTTGAAAGGGGTAGGAGTAAAAAATAAAAATGCCACCAACAGTGGCCGGTACAAACCTTGGGAGTGGACAGAGGGCAGTGTCCAATACTACTGCTCTGCTCTCACTTTTTCTGTTGTGCAAGTAGGATCCACAAACAACACAGCGGGAACTAGCGCTTCTAACGGCAACCCTGGAAATAACCAGAAATGGGACAGGTTGGTAGAGCTGCTTTCTGCAAGCTCTGCTGATCTGGTCTGGTCTGGAAAAGAGTGTCTAGGCTTATTTCCGATTGCTGCAAGATCTACTAGCAGTGCGTCCTGGGTACTGCCCAGTAGCAGCTATCTGGAACTCAGCGTATGCAGTCTTCTCCCACGTGAAGACCTGCTTGCAAGAGAGGCTACTGTATTCTTATTGGGCTCGGCTTAACTGTAGGGCTTTCTCCCTTCTTCTCTCTCTCAGGTATCATGCAGGAGTGAGGGCTAATGCGGTGTCTGCAAGGCCTCGAGAAACTGACACAAGGCTGATTTCATCCACCAAAGCCCAGCACTCTCTCAACCAAACCAGCACCCGTTGATGTACCATGGAGACCTCCTCCCATCCCGTGCCTCTTGCTGCCATTTCTCTTCCTCAGTTCTGCCCTTTGTTCTAACCTGTTCCTTACTGTAACTCTCTAGTGTTCACTGTTCTGGAATTTTGAAAAGTATGCCCCCTCCTCATCACGGCGCTTTGCCCCCCTCTGTGTACATATTTAACTTATTTGCAGATAATGTTTCCATGCTGCAAGCCAAGGCATCCTCGCTGCCCACCCTTTTGTGGCACAGATTAAGAACACCTCAAAATCTTCTCTAATAACAGGGTTTTTACTTATGACCTACCACTGCGTGTCTCTCATTCTTTGTTTGATATTCCATGAGATTGTGGAGGGGATTCTGTTCTACCAAATAAATCCACACATCTTAAAAGCAGCATTGCTGGGTGACACACCATGTCAATATCAAACCCTGTCTACCATTTATGAGATACAACTGGGCACAGTTAGGTGGCAAAACACAATCTGCATGTATGAAGTTCCAAGTCTGACTCTCAGTGTTTCCAGTTTGCAAGGAAATCAGGGCTGAGAGAGACTTCTCTACCTCAAGCAATGAAGAAGTGCTGCCAGTCTGAGTAGACAATGGTTGGTTGGTTGGTTGGTTGGTTTTTACTATTCATTATAAAGCAACTTCATATTTTCCTCCCACGCAACCCCACCAAAAAAAAAGAAGAAAAAGAAAAAAAAAAGGATTATGAACTGAGCATTGCTGGCATAAGTGCTTTGGGTGGTGGAAAAAATGGGGTGAGTCTGCCAACTGAGATCAAAGCAGCAGCAGATGCATTTCTAATTGTAGGAAGGTAGGAAATCTTGGTATCGGTGATGGAACCT